GCTCTTTTGTCCAGTATTATATGGTAAAATATAAAGAGAAAAAGACTGAATCAGATGTCCTTGACTGTTTAAATTACAAAGGGAGGAAATTCAGTATCAATAGTCTCTGAACAATAACACTTTGAAATAATAAACTGCAGACTGCTACAAGGTCTGCTGCAGTCAAATGCTGCCAGGGAATGTTCCCATCAGATATTAAGATATTTCTTGCACTCCTTAGGCCATGCTCAGCCTCAGTCCATTAATTACGGGGTTTTTTTGATTATGTGGTACACATGTAAAAGAGTCCAGGAAAAGTAAAAACCAACAGTATATATCTTCAATAGAAGACCTTTCTGAATTAAAGAAATATATATATATTAAGATTGCAAAGGTTAAGAAATATTAGAATTAGGGCTACCTATATCTTTAGTTCTGTGTGAATTGTCATGCTAAGTAATGTGTGTCCTTTTTTAGGATTAGGTGGAGATGGGCCCTACTCCCTCTTTTACTTGCTGATACAGGATGCAGTTGTTAAACCCAAGGATTAGGAAAGATGGATCTATGTATTTCTGTTGCAGTCAAGTCCCATGTAAGGTACCTGTGCTCATATAGATACAGGTGGCAGACTCCTGCCTTCCATACCCTCTCTTCCCCACTCTCTTAAGTTCCAGTCCTGCAATCCCTTAATCAAACAGGTATTTTAACTTCAGAAAAAAATGTAATTTTGTAGATTTTTGTCAGCTAAAGCTTGACAGAGCTAAAAGAGAGATCTTCCCACCTTTACCCTGGCTTTATATGCCTACCTCCTTTTCAGCCACTATGAGACCACCCCCTGTCACTCATGCCCATACAAAGGACATCATCCTCAACTCAGACCTCACTGCACATCCTGCCACCGAAGTTATGTCTGAAAGATTCAATGCAAAACATACCTCACATGCAGCTTTCCTATCTGCCCATTCAGCTAAAATTCTTGTCGAGGCTCATCTCCCTTCTCATTTACATCAATATTCCTTTTTCTGGTTTTCGAAAATGCAGTTCTGATGTTGCCGTATGTATTGGAATGATTCTTCTCAGCTTCTACCATGTTCTTTTTCCATTTTTATCACTCCAGTGAATTCTCCTCTGCTACATCAGTCAGAAATTTCTTGGGTTTGATTTCAGGACACTTCACAGATTACTCTTTCCTTCACCTGCCATTTCTTTACGGCAGATGACATTTGCCGTACAAATTTGTTTCACACAATGTATTGGCCTCCTGTTCTCTGTTAAATTTTCAGACAAGTTTGTGATTTTTTTCCCCAGGCATCCTTCGTACTTAAAATGTGTTCCACGTAAATACCTGCAAACTCAGTTCATTCTTCCTCTCAAAATACCCTTCTACCACCATGCTCCGAAAAATGTTGTAAGGTCCGATGGATACTGTCTCTCACGTTATCTCACACTTTACTTGTGTTTCCCTGACATAGCTGTCTGTTTCTGTTTCTTGTTCTATACTTGTATTTCCAATCCATTTGGGGCAGACTTAGTATTTCCATTTTTGTATTGTTTGTGTGTCTATGATTTATTTCAGGTGTAGCAGAATTTTGAGTCATGATTAAAGCTCCTAGACAGAAAAGCTATAGAAGGAATATTAATAGTTTTTATCATGTGGCTTTCAGATAGTGAGCTCATCAAGTAAGCCATGTTCTTTTTGTTTGTAAAGTACATATAATTTGGGCCACTGTATAAAGAAATAAGAATAATTAATAATAATAAAGAATTATGAAAGTGTTAGACTACAGAGGTGTTTTACTGGGTCAGATTAAGGATCTATCTAGCCTAAGTGGACAGTCAAAGAAAAGCAGGAACAGAGCAAGTGTATAGCAAGATAATACTATCTGCTGATTTCGCAGCTTCCAATTATTTTCAGCTTTGGGAATGTCTTAATCCTAATGTGGTTTGTCCATTTAGTGGCCTGTAATGAGTTTTTCTTCTAAGAATCTTTCTTCCAAGAACTTGTCCGTTCTCCCTTGTAACCCATGTAGAGTTATGTATTATCACAACATTATTTGACACAGAATTCCACAGATCTACTACCTTATGTATGAAAACAACCTTGTTTTGTTTGTTTTGAACCTGGCTCCTGTCATCTTCTGCTATACCTCCCAAGTCAACTCTTTCCTAGGCTGAAGAATCCCAGCCGACACAGTCACTTCTGATAGCGCGACTGAGAGAGACTTCCATTTCTCCAGTGACCCTTGTTTTCCTTCCATGAATCTTTTCCAATCTTTATATGTAGCCTTTCTGTAACAAGAGGACAGCACTGAAATGCAGGCAGATAGTGCATTTATTCAGTTGAATAATAATGTTTACTGTTTTGTTCTCTATTCCTTTCTTAGTAATTTTGGGGTTTTTTTTCCCCTTGGGACACGGAATGAGCATTGACTGCACTGAACTGACACTCCCATAAAACTATCGTAATCCCAAGGTCTTGTTCCTAAGTGGAAACAGTCAACTCAGAGTCCATCATTTTATTTGTGAAGCTAGAATTGCTTTTCCTCAGAAGCATTGATTTCTTTACATTTATCTACACTGCATTTAACTTCCTTTGCATTTATCTAGACTGAATTTCGTCTGCTATTTTATTTACTGCCCAGTTGAATAAGAGGTTACACCATTGGTAGTTGAACTGTTTCATACCTGAGTTCTTTCAGAGTTTTTGTGATAGTGGTGGTTTCCTAGTATTTTATCAGAGCATTTTATCTTTTTTTCTTAATATTTTATCTGCAGCTGCTTCCACAATAACTTCAAATTCAGACAGATTGTCTGCTGAGCCCTCTTCCCCCAGAGAACAGCACTCTAGCATGGGAGTATCTTCATTTCTTTTCCACAGAAAATACTGATGGAAAGGATTCATCTCCCTAAGTACCCGTTTCATACAAATCATCTGCTGGCCCAATGGATGCTGGCGTGCTTTTTGCTGTGTTTGAAATATGACTTAGTACTAATTTTGATTCTTTTATCTTGTTGATTCTCAAATTATTTTTCCATTCTGCTTAATTGATCATATTTTTACATTTAATCTATTAGAGCTTATGACACTTTTTATTTTCCTGCTTTAAATACAATTTGGAGGATTCCTTCCTGTTTATAGTAGTCTCCTTGACTTTGCTGGAAAGTGATTTCAGCTTCCTTTTATATTTTCTCTGCCATTTCCATAGGTGATAAGCACTAATGCTGTGATTCCATGTTGTGGTTTAACCTCAGCCAGCAACTGAGCACCACACAGCCACTCGCTCACTCTTCCCCCCCCCGGTGGGATGGGGGAGAGAATTGGAAGAGTAAAAGTGAGCAAACTCGTGGGTTGAGATAAGAACAGTTTAATAATTGAAATAAAATAAAATAGTAATAATAATAACAATAATAATAAAAGAATACACAAATAAAGTGATGCACAATGCAATTGCTCACCACCCACAGACCGATGCCCAGCCAGTTTCAAGCAGCGGCCCCCCCGGCCAGCTTTCCCCCAGTTTATGTACTGAGCATAATGTCACATGGTATGGAATATGCCTTTGGCCAGTTTGGGTCAGCTGTCCTGGCTGTGCCCCCTCCCAGCTTCTGGTGCACCTCCAGCCTTCTCAGTCGGTAGAACATGGGAAGCTGAAAAGTCCTTGACTAGTGTAAGCATTACCTAGCAACAACTAAAACATGGGTGTGTTATCAACATTATTCTCACCCTAAATCCAAAACACAGCACTGTACCAGCTACTAGGAAGAAAACTAACTCTATCCCAGCCGAAACCAGGACATTCCAGTATAGTGTTCTCCAGTAGCTTACATGCCTATGAGAATTTAATTCCTTGGACTGTCCCTTTCAGGTATCTTTTTAAGAAGCTCCCTCATTTTCTATATGTCCCTTTTGAAGTAGAGCACAAGAAGTGTGGATTTTTTGAGATTTGCTGCCTTTGTAGGAATGCTGAATAAGTACATTGCCACTATTAGAGAAGAGCAATTCAGCAGTAAGATTTTTATTAGATCCTGCTAGTTATTCAGTACGAAATCAAGGTTTGTATTTTTGGATGTGGGCTCACTAACCACTTACTCCATGAAAGAGTAATTCATAACATCTAACATTTTCATCTCTGCTTATATCTCAGTATCATGTTCATCCAGTCTGAAGGAGGAGGGTAACTGAAGTCCCACAGTACAACTGCTACCTTCCTGATTTTTCTCAGAATATTGCAGTCTGTGTTGCCATCCTTTCTGGGTGATTATTAAGAGAGACCCAGTACTACCTCTGTCCAATTCAGGCATGGAATTTCAATCCATACAAATTCAGTAAGGTGGTTAATTTGTTGATTTTATTTGATTCTGATTTCTTGAATGTATACTACGTCTTTGCTCTGGGCACAGTTTATTCTATCATCTCATGTATATTTTCTATCTTGTTATTACAGTGTGCCACTGATTGTCTTCTTCCCACCAAGTTTCTGCTATGTCATTTTTTTAAGGGAGGACATTCTTGTTCCTCCATCTTATTTATTAAACTTCTAGCATTTTCCTGTAAGCATGTGTACCTCTTTTGTTCCCATCTTGGAAACTCATTTAAATAACACTCAGTTAGTTTCCCATTTCCTACCTGAGTATTTACATCCTTTGGCCAATCCTTTACTGGAGGATACAGAACATCCAAGTTTTTCTTTTCAGCAGCATCACCATTTCTGAGCCATGTGTTCTTGTGTACTTGTGAGCTCTTTCGCAGTCTCGAGTTTAAACACTCAGTTATGACCTTCTAGATTTTAAGTGTCAAACTTCAAATCACACAGTGTCACTCTTTGTTAGATACCTGCACCAACAGGTTCTTCACCCTCCTAGGGCAGTTTGGCTGTCAGTGCTCAAGACCAGCAGTGATGTGATGCAGCCCTGTGACCTTGGATCAGACTCTGGAGAAAGAGCTGTGTGAGAAAGAGCTGGGAGAAGCCTTGCTGGGGGTGCTCTGCAGCTCTGGAGCTGCATTTAAGCTCAGGTCTTACCCGTGGTCCCTGCCTGAACAACATTGTATTGCCTTGCCCGATCTTGCTGAGATCTTGCCTGATCCTGACTTGACGGTAGACTTGCCTCATCGTTATGTACCTGGCTGGCAGTCATCAAACCGCTGGCTGACCGTGGTTACCATCACCAGACCTGCTCTGCTCTTCTTCTTTGGGCCTTGGCACTGTGCCCTCCCTGCCTTGCTGTCAGCACCAGCTCCTTGTTCACGTTCCCTTATGGGGCAACTCCCTCTTGCAGCTCCCTGACACCACATTCAGATGAACTTCAGATAAAGTACTCCCTTTATTCTGAAACTGTTCTCGATTCATGATGAATGTGCATTCTTCCTACTTATACTATCCAATCAAGATAGTAAAAATCTGTCTTTCCACCTCTTCCCATGATCACAAGGGGAGCAGGAAGCATTTTACACAATACCATCATAGAAATCTTAGTCTTTAGCTTCCTTCTTGTTTGCTTAAATGTTCTTCCCTTTCTCAATAGTACTAGTGCACCATAAGCAGTTACCCCTACCAGCACTTCTTAGGAGTCTATCCAGACTCCCCAAGGGGGTTTGCTACTTGGTAGTCGCTGTGCCAGCCTACAAGCCTCTTGGGATCACAAACCCAGCCATCTATACGTGCAATGACAGGTTCTTCCACCAATACAGCCTTTCTCTTCCTCACTGTTGGAGAAAGAAATTATGTGCAATACAAGTAAAGAATGTCATTCCATTCCTTTTTAATAATCAAGACTCACTCCCTCTTAACAAGATATGAAAAATGTGAACATAAGCTGGTGATTCCCACAGATTTCAGTGGGCTCTGGCTCAGGCTTTTAATGACGCTGACTGATACACTTTTTCCAAATGCAGCCTTTCATCCATCAAACCATTCTATTGTTCTGAAAAAATCTGGGATGTAAAGAACATCTGCCACAATGAACATAAAAAGCACAGACCTGCTGTTAACTAATGGGAAGTGTTCTAAGGGCTTGGATTTAAAAAAAAAAGTTAATTAATTTTACAAGAATAATTACTTTGAATGTAAGTCTCAATGACCCTTCTCACATAAAGCTTTTCCAATACAGTCTTGTTTTGGTCTCACTGAGGACAAAAGATGCATCAGCTATACTGACAAAAATCTGTGTGAATTCCTACAAAATAAATTCTACTGAAGGGGTTTATATAGCTTCCTTTTAAATTCTATTTGGTTATTATCTGTAAACAAAAGAAGCTGAGCTGGCCTGGTTTGGATTTGTATGAAAAATTATAATGAAATAATAAAAACAGTAAGCAATAAAGAAAGGAAATAACTGCTTTTAATGTTCTCTGTTAAATGTAATTGTGACATTTAGGAATCAATTTGCTGCTTTTTCTAACATTCATTATTTCACTGATTAGCACAATGTGTAGCAAAGACACACAAGACATCTTTTTTCATCACGGATTTTATAGAAACTAATCTGGTTTTAATCTGGTTTTGCCAAATTATGCAGGTTTTTCTTGAAAAATTGTATGTTAAGAATTTGAGCTGATTTAAGATCCGATTTATTGCAAAAGAAAAGGCATTCAGTTATGTTAGAGTTCCACTTCATTAAGACATATATACACAGTTTTCTTTGTTTTTTAAAAAAGAAAAACAATTCCCAAGACATGTCTTTGTTAAGGTACCCTGCTGGTGGCATATGGCAAAAATACTGGCACCTTGCCTGGAAAGTGCAGCAAGAACTGATGGATCTGATCTCATTCTGTGGCTGGGGAGAAAATAGACTACAGTGAAGGCCAGTCTTATGGCCTGCGACCATCAATTGCTTGGCAAGAAGCACAAGTTCCTGAAAACAGATGCGGGAAGGTGAACTGATTTTGCAAGTCAGGGAAAGATTTTTACCTTCCTAAGTGATGGTAGAGCCCCCAGCACAGTCCCTATTAGAGCTGGACCTTCAGAAGTCTCTGTGTAATTGTGTTTTATATGCTACTGTGAAATAAATATTTCAATATATAAATCTTTAAGAAATAATAGTGCTAATTTAATATTTTAGAGGTCGTCTCAATTTCAAATATTTGAGAACTGGGATGAAATCCTGCAGCTGCAGGAGTTCCAAAAAAGAAGCAGATTTTCTTCCATATTGTCATACTGCTGAGCCAGACATTTAGAGGGATGGCCTGTTCCATGTGAAAAACACATACTTTTTTTTTTTTTAATTCTACACTATTTGAAACCTAGCTTAGCATTAGGTAAGTACTCGTTTTTGAAGGATATACTGGTAGCGTGGAAGAGGGAATCTACTGTCATTGTGATGGTTCATAAACCAGAGCGCCTCGAAATTTGAACATCTCCTGTCCCAAACACGGGCAAGACTTCTAGCTACAAGATTCTACTCCATCTTCCATGAAGATATTTGTATGCTAAATATTATCCTATAGCAATGATCATTTTTATGCTTATACAGATTATCACACCCTTTATGCTAGCATTAGCAACGAGCTGGAATTGATCCAGATAAAAACTTTTTGTCTCTTTTGCACAGCCTTATGTGAACTGGTGCTGGCACGTGAGTAGCCAAGGGCAAAGGATGGCTAAAACTCTCTCTGTGTAGCATTTCGGACTTACTGATAGTTTTAAAAAGACTGTAACCTTGGCCTTAGTGATTCACTATATCCTTTACTGTTCATGTAATAAAACCATTCCTGTCCGTGTTCTCACTACTATTTATTTGCATTCTGTGACTCAAGGTGGCTCTAAACACTTCGGCCACAACAACCCCATGCAGCGCTACAGGCTTGGGGAAGAGTGGCTGGAAAGCTGCCTGGCGGAAAAGGACCTGGGGGTGTTGGTCGACAGCCGGCTGAACATGAGCCGGCAGTGTGCCCAGGCGGCCAAGAAGGCCAACGGCATCCTGGCCTGTATCAGAAATAGTGTGGCCAGCAGGAGCAGGGAAGTGATCGTGCCCCTGTACTCGGCACTGGTGCGGCCGCACCTCGAATACTGTGTTCAGTTTTGGGCCCCTCACTACAAGAAGGATGTTGAGATGTTGGAGCGTGTCCAGAGAA